ATTTGCAGCCATAGGCTGGGATGGCAGAGAGGTTCACGTCCCTGTTGGGGAGTAGGGAGGCAGAAGACTTGCCCCCCTCTCCACCCCAGTTTTACAACCTTAATGGTAAAACAGATGCAAAGAGCATCTCGCACCCCAGTTGCTGTGGCAAACACCATCCTCATCCTCACCCTGCTGGCAGCGCAACCACCTGGCGCTGCTGGGCTGGGGCCTTGCTGCTGCCGTGGCTTTGGTGGGCCTTGGCTGCTGGGGGTGGGGGGGAAGCTGCTGGGACCCCATTATCGTCCTGCAGCCAGCGTGTGGGAAAGACCCAGGGTCCCAGCAGATGTGGGTGGAGGCTCCAGGGAGCTGCCAGATCCTGTCTGCCTTTGACAGGAGAGAACCACAGCGATGGCCACCCTGCTGGTCATTGACCTTGTCCTCTGCCTCACCAGTGACATCCTATGGGCTCAAGGTAGGGACATGTCCCATGCTGGCACCAGGCTGGGCACTTTCAGGGATCTCTGGGATGGTGAAGGATGGGGAGTGGGGCAGTGTGCTGTGCAGTGAGGCTTAGCTCCTGGAACAGCTCTGTCAGAGCTAGAGGAGGTGAGGAATGACATGGACTCCCTGGAGAAGGAGCTTCAGCAGGGCTGCAGCAGCACCTACCACACATGGGAGAGGTGAACACCAGCTCTCACCCTGCTGTCCCATGGACCCCCCACATCCCTCTAGACCCACAGGGGCCAGATCCTGCAGCATCCTGCCTCCAACACCCTCTGCATGCAGGTTAAAAAGGCTGGAGGAAAAACTGGCCTGCCAGGAGAAAATCAACTTCACGGGTGGCATGATCGAGACCTACGTGTTCAAGTTCACGACCAAGCACTTCAGAGGGTTAAACCTCAGCAGCAGGATGGTTGGTCCTCCGGTGCTGCTGTCGCTATTCCCAGGGGATGCCTGTACCCCCCTGGCTCCCACCATCCCCAGTGGGACGTGCTGAGGGGATGCTGGGGTGGCTGACAGTTGCCCACACCAGGTTTTCATCCCCCTCCAAGGATGCTTTACAGCAGGAAAGCCTCCTGCGACATGGTTCTGCTGAGGTGTCGCAGGGAGGCATGGCCTCAGGTCCCCAGCACCATCTCTGGGGTAAATCCATTTGCTTCTAAAGCTGCAGGTGGGAAGATTCTGCATCCAAGAGTCAGTATTTCCATCCTGAAGCTCTTCTGATTGATGAAAGGGGAAGCCCTGGGAGCAGAGACTGTCTGAGGGAGCCCACTGAAGTGTGAAATCCCACTGGGAAAACATCCCAGCGTGATGCTGCCTGCTCTGTACTTGCCCCATGGCGAGGCTGGCAGGACACCCATTGGTGATGTTCCCACCCATGTGTGACGGGCACCCCCATCTGCTCTGGGCAGGGAGGGCTGGAGCTGGTGGTGCTGCTGGGGCTGGGGGATGCTGCAGGGCCACACTGGTAGCTGGGGCAACTGTGCTAGAGGGGGCAGCCGGTGTAGCACCTTGACCCTCCCCGAACAAGCCCAATGCAGGGTACCCAGACCCATCTCTCTCTTGCCTGCTGGCACAGGATGTGAAGCCAGGTGGCGACAGGAGGCTCAGGCATGCCATGAACTTCCCTGCAGAGCTTGTGGAGGGTGTGCAGACGCGGGGAACGGAGGAGGAGCTTGTCTGCATCTACATCCGCAGCCCCTGTGTCTTCCAGGTGAGCCGCAGATTCTCACACGGAGCCCCTGAGCATCCTTAGCAGGCAGCATGCCCACCCCATCACCTAGCTCCCACCAAGACACTTGGGATGGGCAGCATGTCCTGGGGACCCGGGACTCTTCCTGCAGGCACCCCAACTCTTGCAGGATGCCCACAACAGCTCTGTGCTGAACAACGATGTGCTGGGAGCCTTCCTGCAGAGCGGGCATGTGTTCGGGCTCAGCCGCCCTGTGGAGTTCTGGCACGACATGGTGCTGGTGAGCAGGACTCCACTGTGGGCACAAGTTGTGGGGGTCCCCAGCACCAGCGTTTCCCCTGGAATTAGAGATCGAGAAAGTGTCTACTCCGTGCATTGGGACCCCTTTTCTGGGGTCCTCAGGGAGCAGAGAGGGTTCCCAGCTCTCCCCCTGTGTCCCCTTTCCACCAGGATGCCTCCAACACCACCTGTGTCCTCTGGCAGCCTGGAGCTGGTAAGTGTGGCCATGGCCAGGCCCGGGGCAATGCCAGCACGGCGCCAGCCAAAAGGCGTGGCCTGTCTGTATCCCAGGCAGCCCTGGCAGGGTTCACCTTCCCGTCGATGGCACTGTCCCCTGGCTACTGTGCCACCTTCAAATAGCAGCTCTCTGGCATGTGCAGGCAGCACAGGCAGCTGGAGCAGGAAGGGCTGTGAGACCACACACAGGGAGGGGATCTGTGATCACCTCACCTACTTCGCCGTCCTGCTGGTTCACAGCCCTCTTTCCTCCTTCCCTCCTCCTCCTTCCACTGTTCCATCCTTGTCTGTTCCTGTTTCCTCTTCTTCCGTTCTCTTTCCTCCTTCCCCATTTCCCTCCCTCCTTCTTCCTTCCTGTTGTCTTTCTCCATCCTCCTTTCTCCTCCCCTCCATCGTCCTTCTATCTTCCTCCTTCCATCTTCCACTTTTCCCCTTCCCTCCGTCCTTCTTCCTCCCCCGTGGAGGGGTGGGGGGTGGGGCTGCAGGTTGTGTGTGGGTGCATGGGGTGTATGTGGAGGTATGGGGGGTATCCTGCAGGGGAGGGTGGCCAGAGGGGTGGTTTTAGGAGGGGTGACCCCTTTCCCAGCAGGTGGGCGCTCCTGTGGGACCTGCCCCGGCTCACCCCCTCACTCCCCGCAGCTCCCAGCGCCCACGCTGAGCCCGGCCCAGCTGGCATCGCTCACCTACATCAGCACCATTGGCTGCTCCCTCTCGGCTGCTGCCACCCTCTGCACCCTCCTGCTCTGCTGCTTCTCCAGGTACAGCTGTGCCATGCTGTGCCGTGCCGTACCATGCCATGCCATGCCATGCATGCTACGTTGGGCTGTGCCATACCACGCTTCACCATACCGCACTGCCCCGTGCCATCCAGCAGGCACCCACCAGCACCCTCTACCCTCCCTGCTCTTGCAGCCGGTGCCCGAGGGACAACAAACCAGGATCCACGTGCACCTCCTGGCTGTGCTGCTCCTTCTCAACGGCAGCTTCTTGCTGAGCACGCTGCTGGCTGCTGGCGCCGAGGGGCTCTGCTGGGTCACCGCCGTGCTGCTGCATGCCACCCTTCTCTGCACCTTGGCGTGGATGGCTGCTGAGGCCTTCCACCTCCTTCTCCTCCTCGTCAAGGTCTACAACATCTACATCCAGCACTACCTCCTGAAGCTCTGCCTCTTGGCTTAGGGTGAGTGGGCATCAACCTGGCCCTGCCTGCCTGTGCCCTGCCTGCACCCTGCCCCAGGCAGGCCCCACACCACCTGTCCCTGGACCCACAGGTCTGCCCACGCTGCCCGTGGTGGGTCTTCTTGTCTTCAAGAGCGATACGTATGGGTACCTCACCATTAGCACCTCTGAAGGCTACAGGAACATGACTATGTGAGTGAAGGGGGCTGGCTGCCAGCTTCCCTGGCACCCCGGGCACACTGCGCACCCCATGGACCCTGGGCACACTGTAGACTCTGAGCACCCCTGGCACATCATGCACCCCAGGCACAGAGAACTGCCCTGGGGCTGGGGCAAGCAGGAGCCAGCCATAGCTCTGCCGAGCGCTGCCTTTTGGTGAGCCTGGCTCTGCCAGCTGTCCTCCATCTCACCATGCACAGGGGCACACACCGCCGTGCCCTTCCTGCACCCAGCTCCCTCCTGGAGGCGCTGGCCCTTGTCCCCAAGAAAGTGCCTCCCATCAGGTGCTGGCTCACCAGCCAGCTGGACCATTATGCCACCCTCTGCTACGCTGGCCTCATCCTGCTCTTCAACACGCTGGTCCTGGGAAGGGTGGTGACAATACTGCGAAGGATCCAGCGGCAGAAGGGGCAGGTGAGGAAGGACTGGGCAATGGTGCTGGGGCTCACCTGCCTGTTGGGCACTACCTGGGGTCTGGCCTTCTTCAGCTTCGGTGTCTTCCTCGTCCCCCAGCTCTACCTCTTCACTATCCTCAACTCCCTGCAAGGTGTGTGGGGAGCATCGGAGGGACAGAGTGGGGTTTGGCAGGGATGGGCACCCCATGGGTTGGGAGCAGGGTCCTCAGCACCTTCTGGCTCCTCGCAGGAGCTCGGTGCACCCATGGTAGTGACCATGTTGCTACACACCCCCAGGTCTCTTCATCTGCCTCTGGTATGTTACCGTGCACCGCTGGAGCAAGCTGAGCTCCACCAGCAACACCTCCAGATAATGGGCCCCGACACCAGGGTGAGGGGCTGTGAGGGGAGCTCGGGAGCTGACCCCTGAGGATACGGCCTGTCGGCATCCCCTGGGCTGAACGGCTGGCACCGTGGATGCTGTGACTTTCTTCACGGGAAGGATTTGGGCTGCAAAGCTGGATTTGGGGCGGTGGGAGCTGCCCACTGCTGGCGATGTCCTCCTCTGAGGACCGTGGTTGCCCCCGTGCCACCCAGGGCAGCCCTGCTGGCTTTGCAGCCCCGCTGTTAGCAACCAGCACTGACTTCTTCTGCTGAAGGTGGGCACTTCTCATTAAAAGTGACATTTAATTGCCGATGCAGGTCTCTTCCACCACCAGAGGAGCAGCGTGGCTCTGGCCAGGATCATACAGCCATCTGCTGCCACCCTGTCATCCCTGGTCCCCGGCAAGCAGAGCTGGCAGCCATGCTCTGCCTTGTCGTTGGGGAAGGTCCCACTAGATGGCATGAGGATGTCAATGATGGTCCCAGCTCTGGACTGTGCACACAGCAAGGTTGGCTGGTGGTGGCGCAGGTGGTGCTGGTAAGTGGTGGCAAGGAGGTCCCCAACAGCTGGCAGGGAACATCCAAGTCCCCTTGGGGAGCTGCCACTATGCGCTTCACAAATGACAGGCAGAAGAGGGGGCTTTCCGGCTACATCCCCCCAAACTATTTGGTGTCAGCACAGCTGGCTGTAAGGCCATGGCACCCTCAAACCAGCCCCAACCCTGGGTTTGCACCCACAACAGCACCCCACCAAAAGCCCTCCTGCTCACCCCAAAGCCAGCGTAGGGATGGAAGGCACCCACAGCCCTGGGTTGATGAGGAAATGGGCAAACAGGGCTTTGCCTTGGCATTTGGCAGATCTGCCGGGGTGGAGAAGAGGGTGGGAAGTGAACCAGCAACTTGTCTCTTTTTGACAAACCATTGCTTTGTCAGGGTTTACGCAGTACAGCCTGTGGGAAATAATCAGTGAGGACAAATTGCAGGATCTAAAATCATCGATTGGAGTTGGTGAGTGGGCTCTGAGCCCCAGGGATAGCCCCACACACCAGACTTTAACCCAGAACTGCACTCACTGTTTTTCCTGAGATTCTGGAGCTGGGCATCCTGCTCTGCCTGCTGGGATGCAGAGCGGCATCACATCACGGTGACGCTGGCACAGCCACAAATCTGCCTGTGGTGAGTGACAGCACGGTCTGCACTGCCCCTAGGCTTGTAACTCGGATGCACCATAAAGTGCCATTTGTTGGTGCTGCCTATTTCTGGTCCAGTGGCAGGGGACCAGGCATCACAGGGTGACATGCTGCCCTTCTCTACCTTCCTGTGCTGCTCTGCCGAGCGACGTTTCCCTTTCTGGGTGCTTCCCGGGGCCTGGTTCTGGGCTGTGAAGGAAGCTGATGGCTATTGTTCTTTGTTCCATGCACAAAGGGCAGCCATTGCCACCGAGTTTCCATCCCTCCCACTGGTGACCATGACAAAAGCCCATCCCATGGCCCCCGTCTTGCAGCCGGTGGAGCATGGCGGTGGCCCTGGCTCACAGCAGCACAGTGATGAGCTGTGCATGTCTCACCACTCCAGTGGCTGACTTCAACCATTAAATAAGAAGCCTGGGGGTTTGGTGAGGTGCCAAGTGCCCAGCTTGCCCTCCGTCTTGGGAGAGTCACATCCTGGCTGTGGCAGTGCTTCCTGTGCCCCTTCTACTCGGCTCGAGATTTCAGAGCCTGCAGTGGGAGTCACGCTGGCTGCTGGGAAACAATGGCTCTGTCAGGTGTCTCCCAGCAGTGGAGACAGCACCCATGGGGCACGGTGGACCCTGGGGGGGCTGAGCCTGTCAGGGAATGGTGGGACATGGTGGTCCCTGGGGAGCTGAGCCTGTCAGGGAATGGTGGGGCATGGTGGTCCCTGGGGAGCTGAGCAGTGCCCTGCAGTGCTGGTGCCAACTCGCCCCGACTCCTGCGGCAGGAGGAGGGGGACCCAGCCCCTCTCACCTCCCCAAGGAGAAATAATCCTGTTTACCTTCCCCTGGGCCTTATTGGGCAGGAGGTCGGTGCCAAGCTGCCGGAAGAGGTTGTCCTGTCCTTTCTTCACCAGGTAGGTGGCTTGGGGTCACTGCAGGGCCTTCGGACTCCAGCGCAGGCCCTGGGCCCAAGGGCAAAGCTCTGGAATTATTGCAGCTCCTCCAGATTTGGGGGAAACAAGCAGCCAGGGAAGAGAATAAATTTGTTTGGAAACAGAAGGCTGGGGGCAGACCTTGACTCCATTTTGGGATCTGTCTTTGGGACTTGGCTGCTGGGGAGCAGATGAACTTGTTTCCCACCTTCCCACCCAGTTTTCCCCCAGACTTCCCTGACATCATCCTGGGTTTATTTGCAAAGCTGAGCCTAAACAAATAAACGGGGTTTATTACTCTCTCTGCAGTTGGGTTTTATAGCCCGGGCACCTGGTGAGTCGCCGTTCTCATTGCTGCCAAATGGAGAAACCCCAGTGTGGGCTTTGGGGGGATCCGCCCCCCCATTTCATTCATTTTTGGGAGCAAGATCAAAGGAGGTGGCGTGGTAGTGACGGGGAAGCGGGCGCACCCACAGCTGCTCAAAGCAGCTTCCTCAGGCTCCTTTGGGATCCCGTCCTCTGAGGTTCTGAGGCTGCCCTGGCAGCGCTCCCCGGATTTGGATGGAGGAACCTCTGGGCATCTCCTCCCACCGGCACTTGCCTGCTTCCTCTTCCTCACCTTCCTCCTCCTCCTCCTCCCACTGGAGCTGGGCTGAGTCCCACTCATGGTTGCACCTACCATGGGAGCATCATGTTCTCCCCAGGGGCTTTTAGGGGGGTTTCAGCACCCTGGGCTGGGGCTATCACCAGCTCTCCCTTGTCTCCAGACGGTGCTGGGGCACCTCTGTCCGTATCTGCCTCACCTGGGCCAGCAGCAGCCTGGTGGGACGTGCCCTCACCTGCTGGCACCTGCCCATCCCACCACCATGGCACTGTGCTCCTCCAGCGTGCTCCCACTCGCCCGCCGCCAGCACTGTGGCCTTGAGGGGCTCTTAGGAGCTCGTAGAGTTTGGTTTTTTTTTTTTTTGAGCTTTAGGAAATTTTAGGGGGCTTAGGATCTTTTAGGGGTCTTAGGGTATTTATGAAATTTTAGGGCTTTAGGATCTTTAAGGAACATCTAGGGCTTTTAGGATCTTTGAGGAATTTTTAGGATCTTTAAGGAGTTTTCAGAGATTTCAGGAACTTTTCAGGGTCTTAGGATTTATAGGGATTTTAGGAGCTTTTAGGAGGTTTAGGAATTTTGTAGGGCTTTAAGGAGTTTTTAGAAACTTTCAGGACTTTAGGAGCTTTTAGGGTTTTCAGAAAGTTTTAAGGCTTTAGGAAATTTTAGGGGAGTTAAGATCTTTTAGTGCTGTTAGAAACTTTTAGAGTTTTTAGGAACTTTTAGGGCTTTTAGGGCTTCAGGAGTTTTTGGAGTGTTAGGAGCTTTCAGGAACTTTTAAGGCTTTAGGAGCTCTTAGGGTTTTTAGGAGCTTTTAGGAGCTTTTAGGACTTTAGGATCTTTTAGAGCTTTAGGAACTTTCAGGAGCTTTTAAGGTCTTAGGAGCTTTTATGTTTTTTTATGACCTTTTAGGTGTTTTAGAACCTTTTAGGGCTTTTAGGAACTTCTAGGATCTTCAACAAATTTTTAAAGCTTTCAGGAACTTTTAGGGTTTTCAGGATAGTTCAGGGCTTTTAGGAACTTTTAGGGTCTTTTAGGGCTTTAGGAACTTTTAGGGGTTTTTAGTAGCTTTTAGGGCTTTAGGAATTCTTAGAAGCTTTTAAGAACATTAATCATCTTTAGGTTCTTTTAAGGCTTTTAGGGTTTTAAAGTTTTTTTTCAGGCCTTTTAGGAACTCTAAGGGCATTTAAGGACTTTTAGGATTTTAGGAACTTTTAAGGGTTTAGGATCTTTTAGGGTTTTTAGGAGCTTTTAGATCTTTTATTTTTTTATTTTTTTTAAAAGTTTTTGGATATTTTAGGGCTTTAGGAGCTTTTAGGGCTTTAGGAGCTTTTAAGGGGTTCAGGAGCTTTTAGGGGGTTCAGGAACTTTTAGGGGGTTTAGGAGCTTTTAGGGGGTTTAGGAACTTCTAGGGTTTTGAGGATCTTTGAGAGTTTTTAGGAACTTTTACAGTGTTCAGGACCTTGTAGGTTTTTCAGGACTTTTCAGGGCTTTGAGGAACTCCCCTGCTTGAGCAAGAAACGCTTATCGGGCCGAGGGAGTGCTGCTGGCCAGAGCCCAAGGGCAAACGTCCCCTGCGAGGGACAACACAAGGATTTCCTCCCTCTCCACGCTCAGCCAGCGTCTTTGAAGACAGCAGCAGGGCCTGACGCCTTACAGATAATCCTGACAACATCAGCAAGTGCAGACAGCAACCTAAAAATAACTCCTGATAACTTCAAGTGCAGACAAAAGGCTTTTTGTTCCATAAACATCATAAGAAAGATGGCATAAAATGTCCTTTCCTCCTTGGGACGCAGGGTCCCACCTGAGCCCCTGCTCCAGAAGGGCCTGATCCTGCCAGAGCCGCTGATGGGTTTAGCAGCGTTGTTCCAGGGAGGTGGATTCCGGCGTTTCCCGAAGGAGCCGGTCGGGATGACCCGTGGTGGGAAGCCTGGCTTGCCATGCTCCAGTGTGCCTTTCAGAGCTGGCGCCGTTCCCCGTGGTGTGGGGACGGCTGGGCCTCAAAGGCGGCTGTGTTAGCCACGGTCCAGCCACGTGAGCCCGCGTGAGCTGCTCCCCGTGGGAGCCTTGTCCCATGGAAGCCTTTTCCTGTGGGAGGTGGGGAAATTCGGGGCTTGGAGCTGGAAATTAAACCGATTTGGAGGGTGATGTGAACACGCAGGATGTCGCCCGCACTGGGGGTCCCAGGCGCAGCCCTGGCACCTCTAGTGCCATGGCCGCCTTTTATCCCCATCGCCTCCACTGTCAGAGCGGGAGTTTGCTCCCACCCTTCCCCCAATA